TTTCTCTCTTTAGTTCTGTAATGTATGATAAAAATGGAAAGTAAATAATATGGAAACAGAGTTAACAGTGCATGAATATTTATGATATTTCACCTGTGAACATTTACGTTGAGTTGAAATTATCTATCCTAGGCAATGCTTTTGAAGCATGGCACATTATTCTTAGGCAGCTACCTGAAACTCTTAGGAGTCCTGAGAGATAGGAGTTGTTGTCATCATGATATATGTAAACCAAAATTCTGTTTTTACCCTGTTGCAGGAAGACCGCCCAATAGTTGCATCTGTGCTTGACATCAGCTAAACATCCGTTAGCTATCACCCAATACATGCTGAGTTAGTGTCACAGCACACAGCATGAGAATGGCCCCCTTTCCTCATGATCACAGGAATGATTCTGGTAAGTTTATTTGACTTTTTATGTAACATTTACTTAAATATCAATACATTATGGTAGAGTCAAGTTTGGTCAAAGTTTATTTAGGTATTAAATACCTTAGGTGGCCACACAACCTGGAAGTCAGGGAAACGTCAGGGAAAAAAATATTGGTCAGTGAAGTCAGGCAAAAGTCAGGGAAATTGAATGTTGGTCAGGGAAAATGACTGAATCTTGCCCCAAATTGTTGTTTTCAAACTTTCGGTGGCATTTTCAATTTTTTGGTAGGCAAAATACATTTCAAATTCAGGGAATTTGCGTATAAAGTCAGGTAATTTGAAAACTCCGATTGCGTGGCCACCCTGTGATTTGTTTCTCTTTGAGGGGTTACGGCCTATTACTTGATCCTACAATATGTGGTCGTGTTAATTTTAGTGGACAGGAAGTAGAGGCAAATCATCAGAGTCTCACTTAGAGAAATGCTGCTATTTATTTCCACTTTCATATATTGATTGTGTATCAGGCTTTGAGTAAGTCAAGAGAATATGAAGATACCTCAGTCTAATCTATTTCAGTCTATTTCAGCGTTAAGTTATTTGCATTGACCATTCAAGTTGTCATTTCTAAATTGTCTTCTAAATTAAATTGCCATTTCTTTATTGCTTTTATGCTTACTCCATGTATGTAGTTGTGTGTTGATTTTAGTGGAGGGACACAGTTTTACCTTATTTATTTTCATGAAATCTTACAAATATTAATTATGATGTGTTTAGGTTCATAAATCCTCATTGACTTAACACTTTTTTTTAAGACAGGCAGAAATATTCCAGCTCCTGCCAACTGAATGCTCTTTTTCTCTTTAGTTCTTTAATAATTGATAGAAATGTAAAGTAAATAATATGGAAACAGAGTGAAAAGTGCATGAATATCTATCTATTCCACCAGTGAACGTTTGACGTTGAGTTGACATTGTTTGTCCGG